ACACAAATCGAGTTTATTTATTATACATGATAGAAACGCCTTTGAGAGCGCCACAAAAACAGCGTACCATAATAACACATCGACCAATGACAGTCAAGGATTTCCTGAGTGGAAAATATAATCTCCAGGTCAACTGATCAGCCCATGCGCGAAACCACAAAATCCAAAATTAGGACCTCAATCGAGTTCTAGGCAGCTTACGTCCCCGACAGTGGTATAGCTCACGATGCTACGAACAAATGAACAATGTCTTCCCCCATTACATCCTAAATTTAAAATCCCCTAATAATATTAATGAATTGCTTTATAAAGTATATTTTAAATGACTAATCATTTTTTGTTAAAATGAGACTAATGAAAAATTTGGCGAGTCAGTCAGTCAGTAGCAACGCAGAACTTCGTACGTATGTACATCAGTCCATGTTGCCATACCACATTAGCACACAGACGCAAATTTCAAGTCAAATCCCAATTGAAAGAGATAGTAGAGGTAGTATTGGTAAGGAAGAAGACTAGGGATTGAAGATATTATTCAAGAAGTATAATTCAATGACATAAAGTTACCAAGACAAAGGTAGAGGTGCTGACGAATCCAGAAGATTAGGATTTGAGAGAGCACAACGAATGGATGCACTTGCGCCACTGCAAACGACTTTGAGCTATGTCATTTAGGCTAACTAACCATATAGTATTATCATCTCGCGGACCCCAACCCGATAGTGGAAACCTACCAAAATGACTCAGTTCACTATTCAGTGACTTCATGGATTTGTGCCATTTTTTGACTTGGCAGCCCCTCTAGCTTCCTTCCAACCTATTTCTACACCACAAAACATAACTCGGCGAGGCAGTCGGTGGTTAGGCGTACGCAACACATGTCCCAACCACCTCAACTGATTAAGTGTCACAACTGAGTCTATTGATCTGCCATTCTTACCTAGAACTCGTTTCCTAATAACAGCGTTGCTCACTCGGTTGTCCCACGATACTCGAGTAATGTTTTGGAGGCACCTATACTCGAAAACCTGTAACCTACGAATATATTCTACTCTCACTGGCCATGTTTCACAGCCATATAGTAGGTCGGAGCGAACTACCGCGCAGTACACTCGTCCTTTAGTTAGCAAACGAATATCTCACCTGCGCCCTAGGTGACGCAAGTTGGCAAAAGCCAATCGAGCCTTCTGTATCCGAGCTGAGATTTCGTCAGTCATCAGGCCATCGGCACTGATGAGACTGCTGAGATATGTGATGCGGTCAGCATGCTCGACTACTTCACTCCCTATCACTAGTTCAGGTGCCGATGAAACCCAATCTTGAAGCAATATTTTGCATTTCTACGGTGAGAACCGCATCCCGAATATGCTTGCATTGTTGCTTAAGGTAATCAGAAGACTCTGCACTTTGTCAGCGTCTTCACCAAGTGGCTGCGTTTCAAGTTGTTTATCAATATGATATAAATATATATCCCAATTATACAAATATATGATCGTCTTAATATCAATCCTATTGAAATGAACGTGATTTTAACTAGTTCACAAAACAAACAATAGATTACTGCTGATTATCGAATAAAATTTTCTAAAAGAGAAAAGAAATAACAAGTGTTCACATACACACTGAGATGTAGGTACTGTAGTGAACGAGAACATAGGTGGGGCAACCGAATTGTATTTAGCGAAATTAAAGAGTTACTCAGTAAAATTGGAAAACCATATCGTAAATCGTTAGTTAATTTGCAAAATATTAGTTCACCATATCGAACTGGACTGTTCCTGTTGCAAAACATCAATCCATTGTCACTACTATTCATGCGTTTCATACAAATTCCATTGTTTTCTAACTCTTCCTTTCTTGATCTTCCCCCATCTTCTTCTGCTGCCAGACATTACGTTGACACTCACGTCATATACTACTTATAAGTAGCTCACACCACAGTACGTACATCCAAGAGCTGACGAATCCTACCAACTAAAAGCGCATGAAACTCGTTTCTAAGATTCTCTTGCCAATCATAAATCATCTAATCTACTCTGCCTACAATAAATAAACTTAATCATAGAAACGGCTAAATCGAGGTCATTTGTCCAGGATAGTAATAATTGTAGTAGAGTAGCGTTGTCGAGTAAGAGGAGAGATAATATGTTTATATAATTTTTAGCCTTAATTTTAGACAAACATAAAAAAACAATTCAGACAACATGTGATTATTCATGATATTATATTATATTATAAATTAATTCTACGAAATTGTGACCTTCACAGCATGTACACAAAACACACACACACATGTCTTACTTATTATATTCATGTGCTTGGAATTCTTCTCTATGCGTGCGCTGCTTGTTGTGTCCACGCACATGTGCACATGTAATAGTTAGTTGTGTCTACCAATCACTCACTATCTTATCTAATGCCTATCTCGTTGTTACATTATTGCATTGCATTGCATACTTTTCACAGCTTACATTATTGCTTTTAATGAATGACTAACATTAAAGGCATTGGTATACCTTTTTTGATTTGCCGTTTTGTTTCGATCTCCTCCTGAGTGTGCGCAATTTTTTTAATGTTTGTCTGCCTAAGATGAATAATATAGGAAACGCCGCATATTGATTCATTCAACTGCATTGGTAATTAACGTCTTATTACTGTTGTAGTGAACGAGAACACAGATAGGGCAACCGAATTGTATTTAGCGAAATTAAAGAGTGACTCAGTAAAATCGGAAAACCAAATCGTAAATCGTTCATTTTCAAAATATCAATCCATCATCCATCGAACTCGACTGTTCCTATTGCAAAACATCAATCCATTGTCACTACTATTCATGCGTTTCATACAAATTCCATTGTGTTCTTCTAACTCTTCCTTTCTTGATCTTCCCCCATTTTCTGCTGCCAGACAATACGTTTACACTCACGTCATATACTACTTATAAGTAGCTCACACCACACTCGTCCCCCCTGTTAATAAGCTGTCGTCGTAGTCTTTCAAAACAGGGACCCTGGTCAGTTAATATCACATTCCGCTATAATATGCCGGATTGCCACTTCGGTCATGGTTCTTGCCCGCTGGTCTTGAATGGGTACGGCATCTATCCAACGTGTAGCGTTTACTAGTTCCCGCTGCTGGAATACGGCCACAGGCACACTCTCGATAAATTGCGACGCCAAAAACTGTGCTCTGGACTCCCCATCCTTACTCGGCAGCGTACGGCGCAGCAACATCGTGAGCTCCACAGCCAGCAACAACGGGTCACCATCAGCCGACAGCCTCGCCAACCTGAACCTCTGCGGCGCCTCCTCCCTGCCCACCGGGCTGTCGAGCTCCGTCATCAGCCGTCCAGTGACCGTCTCCCACGCAGTCTTCCCGGCGGCACCTTCCAGGCTGTCGTGCACCGCCTTCGTCTCACCTACCCGCAGCGTCCCCAGCATCGCCAACTCCGCCCCGGGCCCTTTCACACCCACCAGCTCCACCGTGGCCTCAAACCCCTCCAGGAAGCTCTGCGAATCTCCGTCCTCCATCTCCGGCCACGGGAGCTCCTTCCGCCGAGCAGGCAGCGACACCAAATGTAGTGAACGAGAACACAGGTGGGGCAAACGGATTGTATTTAGCGAAATTAAAGAGTTACTCAGTAAAATTGGAAAACCATATCGTAAATCGGTAATCTGCAAAATATCAGTCCATCATCCATCGAACTGGACTGTTCCTGTTGCCAAACATCAATCCATTGTCACTACTATTCATGCGTTTCATACAAATTCCATTGTGTTCTAACTCTTCTTTTCTTGATCTTCCCCCATCTTCTTCTGCTGTCAGACATTACGTTGACACTCACGTCATATACTACTTATAAGTAGCTCACACCACACTGTCATCTATATCTGTCTCATAAACGAGTATTGCTCTGAGTGTAATAATATTCAGAATTGAATATCAATCAGTCAGTCAGTTAGTTAGTTAGTTACATAGTAGAATTTCGTACGTACATATATACTACAGTTCAAGTTGTCACACCACCAGCAAATTAGCACACAGATGCGATTTTCAGTTCAAATCCCATAGTGGTAGAGAGATAGAAGAAGTATTAGACGTAATGTAGAAGATTAGGATTTGAAGATATTATATTCAAGAAGTATAATTCAATGAGATAAGTTTAGAAAGAGAAACATAGAGATGATGAAGGATAAAGAATTCAGAAGGTTAGAATTTGAGACAACACAATGAATGAATGCACATGCGCCATTGCAAACGATTTTGAGCCATATGATTCAAGGTCTCGCCGACCCCAACCAAGTAGTAGTCTATATCAACCAACATGACTCAGTCCACTTGTCAGTGACTTCATGGATTTGTGCCATGTTTTGGTTTGGCCGCCCCTAGCTTTCTTCCAACCTATTCCTACACCACAAAACATAGCCATACGTAACACATGTGTCATCCACCTCAACTGATGAAGTTTCACCACTTTATCTATTGATCTGCCATCCTTACTTAGTACTCCTTTCCTAACGACAGCATTGTTTACTCGGTTGTACGACTCTCGCACTCCACATGATTCGAACCCAGGACTTTCGGTATTGTAGGTGAACGCCTAACCACCGGACCACTGAGCCATTAACACCGTTAGATACCGCCGGTTCAGTGGTCCAATGGTTAGGCGTTTGCCTACAATACAGAAGGTCCTGGGTTCGAATCCTGCGGGGTGCAGGAGTCGTGGATGCGCACTGCCACTGAGGAGTCCCATACCAGGACGAAACGGCCGTCTTTCAGTGCTTCCAGGTTTCTAATGGTCATCTAACATTGATTGACTCATGGTTTCAAAAAAGTGTAACTTAACAATCTTCACAACCCCCCGTAATACAACTAAGATTGATTAAAATCTCATTTTAAAATATCAACAACAACAACAAGGCATCACTATCATAATCAATCAACATGATAAAATTAAATTCTAAAGAATTATTTCTTTTAATTCATGTAACAGTGGAACTTACTTCGATCTTGTTTACGTTTTTTACAATCAAAGTCTAATCGTCGTCCTTCCAGTTTTTTACGATGATGCTGTCCGGGGGGGGGAAAGGAGAGGAAATGAAATTGAACAAACATAAATCTAGGCATGAGAGAATAGTTTACGTAATGAAAAACAGACAAGCTTATGCACCACACACACACTTCAACACAGATGAAGTGTTGAAACTGCATCAGTTGAAGTGATTGAGACATGCGTTGCGTATACCGCTACCCATCGACTTCAAGTGGTGTCCTTTCAGGGATGTCCACTCTCTCTGTTATTGTTCAATTTTGTCATATATATGCTTCTAGACATAACCTTATCCTCGTTTGAATTTTCAGGAATAGACCTTTTACCAGGAGGCTCGCTAATTGACTTAGAATATGCCGATGACATAGTCCTACTTGGTGAAGACGCTGACAAAATGCACAGTCTTCTGACCAGCCTAAGCAACAATGCAAGCATGGTCGGGATGCGGTATTCCCCGCCGAAATGCAAAATGTTGTTTCAAGATTGGGTTTCATCGGCACCTGAACTAGTGATAGGGAGTGAAGTAATCGAACGTGTAGACCGCTTCACTTATCTTGGGAGTCTCATCAGTGCTGATGGCCTGGTGACTGACGAAATCTCAGCTCGGATACAGAAAGCACGATTGGCTTTTGCCAACCTGCGTCACTTATGGCGAAGGCGAGATATTCGTTTGCTGACTAAAGGACGAGTGTACTGTGCAGTAGTTCGCTTCCTCCTACTTTGTGGCTGTGAAACATGGCCAATGAGAGTAGAAGATATTCGTAGATTACTTGTTTTCGATCATAGGTGTCTTCAAAGCATTGCTCGTGTATCCCGGGACAACCGTATAAGCAATGTTGTCGTTAGGAAATGAGTTCTAGGTAGAGATTGCAGATCAACAGATGAAGTAGTGAAGCTTCATCAGTTGAGGTGGTTGGGACATGTGTTGCGTATGCCCAACTACCGACTGCCTCGTCGAGCAGTTTCGCGATGTAGGAACAATTTGGACGAAAGCTAGGGGCGGCCACACCAAAACATGGCAGAAATCCTTGAAGTCACTAACAAGTGGACTGAGTCATTTTTGTAGGTTTCTACTATCGGGTCGGGGCCCGCGAGATAATAATAACCGATGCTTAGAGACCCTGAATGACATGGCTTAAAACCGTTTGTGTTCTTTGAAATCCTAGCCTCAAAGTTCCTCATTATTTCTCCCCTTCTCTTTCTAAAGTTATCTTTCTTGGATAATATCTTCAAACCCTAATCTCTCCGATTACTGCTAATACTTCTACTACCTCTACTACTATGAGATTTGAACTGACCATTGCATCTCTATGCTAATGTGTTAGGACAACTTGAACTGATGTAAAGTACGTACGAAGTACTATGCTGTGATTTACTGACTGACAAATATCAACTCATACACACACACACCCAGCAAACCACATAATTAAATAATCATAGATCGATTTGAGTTGATATCAACTTTGTAAATTCCTCACTATTATTAACTAAACAAATTAAATCTTATGAACTGTTTAGACAGAATTTCAAGTTGTCATTAGTAATTACATATATAGAATATTGAATATCATGAAAAAAAAATGAAGAGATTGGTTGATTCTATGAATTTGACGAAATCATGTACGTTTCGTTGAAATCATGAATCAATCAGTGGTAAAGCACCATAAGATACCTGAAAGCATTGGACATCCGGTTCGTGTTAGTATGGGACTCATCAGCAGTAAGCACCGATGACCATTTAAAGGGAATTCAACTCAAGACGTTTAGTCTAGCGAATTAAGCCAGTGGCATCCAACTGTTTTAATATCTAACTCACGGTATTGCATAATCCCTACTGGTCATAGCTTCTCATTGAAGGTTCCTGGGTTTTGATTCAACCGTAAGTAGTAAGTAGGTCAGAGGATGCACACTGTCACTGATAAGTAGTCCCATACTATAGATAGACTGAAACAGCCATCCAGTGTTTTCAGATTTGTTATGGTGATCGATTCGCGATTTCAATGAAACTGAACAATCTTCACACAACTCCAAAAGGAATAATTTTTATTCCCGTACAATACTATCAACTTCATCTGCCTAACTAAACCAGTACGAATTGGTTTCCTCTATGATGATGAATAAGGCAAACATGATCATGAGTATAATCATCACGAGTGCATCACCTGAGATTTCGAACCTTAGAAAATGTAAGATGATTAGAACAATAGGTACACATTGACGAGTGGACTTAGCCATGTCGGTAATTGTCGACTACCTGATTGGAGTCCGCGAGATGATAATAATCGATGGCTAGAGACCTTGAACGACGACATGGCTCAAAATCGTTCGCAACTCTTTGTGTTCTCTCAAATCCTAATCTTTTGGATTCTTCAACACCTCTAGTTTTTTGACTTTCTAAACTTATCTCATTTAATCATACTTCTTGAATAATATCTTCTAATGCTAACCTCTCCGATTACTTCTAATTCCCTTACTACCTCTTCTACTACTATTGGATTTGAATTGACAATTATAGCTCTGTGCTGATGTGGTTTGGCAACATGAACTGATGTACGTACTTACTTACAAAGTTCTACGTTGCATCTGACTGATTGACTGACTGACTGACTGACAGACACACACACACATCCACACCTAGAACATTGGTAAAAATCAGTGTCCAAATTGCCTAGCTAAAAATTAGTTTATGTGATGTGTGACAAATAAATTAATTAATTATTACTTTGCACAAAAACAATAAAATCAGTAGTATATTAGTAGTAGTAGTAGTAGTAGTATTGGTAGTGTATAACAAAAATAAAATTAGACAAAATCAATTACAATTAGAATAAAAATTTCTGTAAATTGTAAATATTTACACATTACATTACATTACATTACAGTACAGTACAGTACAGTACAGTACAGTTGAACAACACTGATATAATAATAACAATAATTCGGAATGTATTTTTTAAACATTTTTTTCAAAAAATACTAGTAAAGGAACACTAACCATTATACATGATAGATACATGAATATATATATATATATATATATATATGTCATTGAATTTGCACATAAATAAACGCCAAACATGATAAGATTCATGTTTTAGAATAAAGAATTAAGTAATTTACTGAAAGTGTAATACAGGATACTTACTTACTGTCAAATGAATGTTTCAATTCAAATCAATAAACAAAATGAGGAATTGATCATTTGCATTACAAGGGTTGTGAAGATTGTTGTTAAGTTACACATTTTTTGAAACCATGAATCGATCAATGTTAGACCAGCACCATTTCAAAGAAACCTGGAAGCACTGAAAGACGGCCGTTTCGTCCTGGTATGGGACTACTCTCCAGTGGCAGTGCGCATCCACGACTCCTGCACCCCGCAGGATTCGAATCCAGGACCTTCGGTATTGTGCGCGAAAGCCCTGACCGTTAGACCACTGAGCCAGTATCCAACAGTGTTAATGTCTAACTTGATCAAATTCACGGTGGTCTAACATTGATCGATTCATGGTTTCAAAAAATGTGTAACTTAACAATCTTCACAACCACGTAATGCAAATTACCTGTGCTCACTAGTGACGACTAGCTTCGTGAGGAATCTTCTCCGAGTTATAGTGGGAAGACGTCGTGACCAGTGAAGTTCAACCTGTTCGGGTGTAGGCAGTGTCTACCGAAGACTGTGTATGAGGTTGTGCAACTCAGTGGTCTACCGGTTAGGGCGTTCGCGCACAATACCGAAGGTCCTGGGTTCGAATCCTGCGGGGTGCTGGAGTCGTTGATGCGCACTGCCACTGATGAGTAGTCCCATACCAGGACGAGACGGCCGTCTTTCAGTGCTTCCAGCTTTCTTCTAATGGTGGCCTAACATTGATCGATTCATGGTTTCAAAAAATGTGGAATTGATCATTGTTAGATCAATGCATTAGGAAACAATGAAAGACAACCATTTCGTCTTATAGTATTGGACTGACTGACTGACTCATCAGTGATGATAGTGAGCACCCAACACTTACTTACTCATGGCCGAATTGAAATCAACAACCTTCGGTGAGAGAAGCCGTAGCCAGTGGAATGAAGCAATACCATGTGAGTTAGACATTAACACTGTTGGATGCCAGACGGCTGCTCTCACTGGTCTAGACGTTAAGTGTTCACACTCCCGATCAAACATACTGAGTTGGAGATTCCTGCGAACGGGCATCGGTGTGCTGCATTGTTCATAAGTCTCATACTAGGACGGAACAGCCATCTAGTGCTTCTAGATTTTAATGGTGTGCTAACAATGATCGATTCAACACTCTTCACAATTGTATAATGTAAATAAAATAAATAGAACATAAGTCCTGACTGCCATACCGGATTAGCACAAGGATGCCATTGTCAGTTCAAATCCAATAGTGTTGGAGGCAGTAGAAGAACTACTTACTGGTAATGGAGAAAGATTAGGGTTCGAAGAAACTATTCAAGAAGCATATAATTAAGTGAGATAATTTTATAACAAGAGAAAATTAGAGATGATGATGAACTTTTGAGGTTAGGATGTACCTGTGGTACCATTGCAAACGATTCTGAGCCATGTCATTCAATGTCTCTAATCACCATCGGTCACTTTCATCTCGTGGACCCCTACTACCACCAGGTAGTCTACATCTACCAACATGACTCCTCAGTCCACTTGTCAGTGACTTCATGGATTTGTGCCATTGTTACGATATTCACCACATATCCTAAGAGTACTATTTTTAGAAGTACAATCCTATTGGTCGATTTCTATTGGCCGAAATTATGACCGTTCTAACCGTCAAGGTCAAATACTTCAATGTTGTCTCTTATTGGTCATCTGGACTGTCAATGTCATTTCAAATGTTCTTTTCTATTGATCGTCGTCTTAAACTGTCAATGTCACAGACTTTGATGCTCTTTCTTATTCGACCTAAATGTATAAATACGCACTATCTGAAAGACTGAATAATTCCGTTCTCCTGCCTACCTCTCTTCTGTACTCAACCCAAATAAACAACTCCATCCCAGGGTGTTGCATTCTGATATCTAGGAGATTTGGGGAATAGTATTTTGGGTCGTATTGGGATATTTGAATTTGGACGCCGCTAAGACTGAATAACTAGCTAAACGTAGCAGCGTTACAACAGCCATGTTTTGGTTTGGTTTAGTTTTTGTTTATAATACACGTAAAATCTTTAAAGCGAAATACCACTTACATTGATTTCTTTCAGTTCATGTGTTTGTACACTATGCAATGGATCGAGGAAATTCTCTCTGACATGATCTTCCATGGTATATTTAATATTGGCTAAACATTTAAACGTTTCACCAGCTTCAACAAGGCATTGACCTTTTGAAAGAAATATTAATGATAAATAGATAATGATTAATAATTAATTCTAGTCTAAAAATTAAATTAAAAAACTAAAAAATTCAATTCAATCTCTTTCTATGGCAAAAATAGATAGCAGTAGAAGTGTGGTGCTGTGGTGTGAGCTACTTATAAGTAGTATATGACGTGAGCGTCAACGTAATGTCTGACAGCCGAAGATGGGGGAAGATCAAGAAACGAAGAGTTAGAAAATAATGGAATTTGTATGACAATTGATTGATGTTTTGCAACAGGAACAGTCCAGTTCGATATGATGAACTGTTATTTTGCAAATTAACTAACGATTTATGATATGGTTTTCCAATTTTACTGAGTAACTCTGTAATTCTCGTTAAATACAATTCGGTTGCCCCAACTGTGTTCTCTTTCACTACAGAAGTTGTGTTTGATGCAGTAAAAAGAGTTCACTACTCTCCATCTCTAAATGCTTTTTTATATGGCCATATGTGTGAGGCAGCCACTGCCAGGGAAATTATACACATTTCCTTGTCATGACGATGTTCTTTACGAAATTGACTGGACATAAAAACGAGTGTTTGGGGCTTTAAGCGGATTAGTGGAAACGGAGAATCCACTTAGAGGAGTGTGAAAAACCCGGATTTCAAACAAATGATATACATAGACTCCTAGATCCTGAGGAAACGAACGGAGTGTGAACTTATCGTTGTTCACCGGCTACCATGGGGTTGCATCTGCTAATGTTGCACCGGTCTTTTGAAAGTCTTGCAGAGTAAGTATCCTACTTCGGTATGAGCACCTGGACAGTATCTCAGCACACATACAGAATAAATGATTTGTGTGACATATACACATTTAGGTGGCCATTTGTACTAATTTCAATGTGTTTAAATAACAATATAATTTCTGGTGCAGGTTATATTCGACATAAAAGCGTGCTAAAGCAAGGCACCATGAGGGACAGCACAAAGTAAACTTAGCAGATCGATCAGCTAAAACTTAGAACATCATATGTATGTACATCAGTTCATTAGTTCACAGATGCTGTTGTCAATTAGAATTCCCATAGTAGTAGAGCTGGTAGCAGTATTAACGATAATCGTGAAGATTAGGGATCGTAGATATGAATCGAGATGTATATCCCAATCAAATAAAGTCAAAAAGAGTAAAGCAAAACGGTCATGAGGAATGCAGAAGACTAGAATTTGAGAAAAGGCAAAGAACAGATGAGTTTGTGCCACTGCAAACGATTTTGACCCATGTCATTCAAAGTCTCTAACCATCGGTGACTTTCGTCTCGGGGGACCCAACCAAGTAGTCTGCGTCTATCAACATGACTCAGTCCCGTTGACAGTGACTTCATAGATTTGTGCCATGTTTTGGTTTGGCCGCCCCTAGCCTTCGCCCAACCTACTCCTACACCACAAAACATAGCTCGTCGAGGCAGTCGGTGGTTAGGCATACGTAACACATGTCTCAACCACCTCAACTGATGAAGTTTCACTACTTCATCTATTGATCTGCCATCCCTACCTAGAACTCGTTTCCTAACCAGTAGTAGTCCACACCTACTGGCAAGGTTTAGTTTCATTGTCGATGACTTCATAGATTTGTGCCACGATTTAGTTTGACCGCCCTCTAGTTTTTTTTCGCGATTCCCTACTAACATCAAACAATATTTATTTGCCAAGGTATTCAGTGCTCAAGCACACGTAACACATGTCTCAACCATCGAGTCGCCATCCTTGCCTAGTACCCTTTTCCAGCATTGCTTACCCATCCTATTGGTCGATTTCTATTGGTCAAAATTATAAACGTTTAACTGTCAAGGTCAAATACTTCAATGTTGTCTCTTATTGGTCAACCGAACTGTCGATGTCATTTCAAATGTTCTTTCTTATTGGTTGTCACAAAATTCGATGCTCTTTCCTATTCGAACTAAATGTATAAATACGCACTACCTGTAAGACTTCATGACTCCGATTCTGTTCCTTCCTGCCTACCTGTCTCTTCTGTACTCAATCCAAATAAACAACTCCATCTAACGGTATTGTGTTCTGATCTATATAGGAGATTTGGGGAATAGTATTTTAGGTCGTACTGGGATATTTGAATTTGGACGCCGCTAGGACTGAATAGCTAGCTATACGCCGGTCAGTCAGTCAGTCAGATGCAACGTAGAACTTTGTACGGAAGTACATCAGTTCATGTAGCACCCATATCACATCAGCACAGAGATGTTATTGTCAATTCAAATCCAATAGTAGTAGAGGTAGTAAAGGTATTACAATTATTCGGAGAGATTAGGATTAGAAGATATTCAAGAAGTATGATTCAGTGAGAAAAGTTAAGAAAGTCTAAACTAGAGGGGTTGAAGAATCCAGAAGATTAGGATTTGAGAGAACACAAAGAGTGGATGCACCTGCACCATTGCAAACGATTTTGAGCCATGTCGTTGTTCAAGGTCTCTAACCATTGGTGACTTTCATCTCGCGGACCCCAACCAGGTAGTCTACACCTACCAACATGACTCAGTTCCGTTGACAGTGACTTCATAGATTTCTGACATGTTTTGGTCTGTCAGCCTCTAACTTTCTTCCAACATACTCCTACACCACAAAACATATATCGTCGAGGCAGTCGGCGGTTAGGCATACGCAGCACATGTCCCAACCACCTCAACTGATGAAGTGTCACTAATGCGTCTATTGATCTGCCATTCTTACCTAGCACCCGTTTCCTAATAACAGCGTTACTCACTCGGGTGTCCCACGATATACGTACGAGCGCAATGCTTCGAAGACATCGATGATCAAAAACCAATAACCGATGAATATCTTCTACTCTCATTGGCCATGTTTCATAGCCATAAAGTAAGACGGAGCTAGTAGCTATACATAGCAGCATTTTATAACAGTATGTTAACATAAATAAATGTACATCAAGTATTAAAAGTTGTATACACACACACACACACACATACCATAATATGAATCCGGACCTAAATCACGACCACATTTAATCATACATTCACCTAATTGATTTTCCGGTTGAGGATAAGCAGCCATTTTTGATTTGCCTTGTAATTTACTCAATGTATTCATTGTCATTAATTTAGCACGATAAGCTGGATTTGGTTGAAGAAATTCATGCGTTTGTACAATGACATCTTCAAATAATTTAGCAATTGTATCGACTTTCTTCAATGTTGATGATAGAGTTTGATTGAAAAAAATTTTATATTCTTACTTTTTCTATTTCCACATATTCATCGTCTAGTTTAGTACCTTCAGCTCCACCAATTTTTTCACTCATAAACTAAAAAGGAAAAATTAAATAAAGAAATAGGATTTACATTTGATAGACAGACAAACAGACAGACAGACAGAAAGGTACAATACAGAACTTTTTGTATGTATGTAGTAAGTACATTAATTCAGGTTGTTATTACCAACATATTAGCACAGAGATGCAACTGTCCGTTCAAATCTAATAGTGGCAGCGATAGTAGTGTGGTGCGAGCTACTTATAAGTAGTATATGACATGAGTGTCAACGTAATGTCTGGCAGCAGAAGATGAGGAAAGATCAAGAAAGGAAGAGTGGGAACACAAAGGAATTTGTATGAAACGCATGAACAGTGAAAATGGATTGATGTTTTGCAACAGGAACAGTCCAGTTCGATATGATGTACTGACAATTTGCAAATGAACAATTTACGATATGGTTTTCCAATTTTACTGAGTAACTCTGTAATTTTCGCTAAATACAATCCGGTTGCCCCACCTGTGTTCTCGTTCACTGCAGTAAGTACATTAGTTCAGGTTGTCATTACCAACATATTAGCACAGAGATGCAACTGTCAGTTCAAATCCAAGAGTGATAACGATAGTAGAAGTATATTAACAGTGATGGAGAAGATTAAGGGAGCGAAGATATAATTCGAGAAGTATATAATTCAGTGAGATAAATTTAGAAAGAGAGAACGATAGAGATGATGAGGAATTCAGAAGGTTAGAATTAAAGAGAGAACACAAAGAGTGGATGCACTTGTGCCACTGCAAACGATTCTGAACCATATCGTTCAAGGTCTGTAACCATTGATGACTTTCGTCTCGTGGGCCTCAACCTGGTAGCCTACATATACCGACATGACTCAGTCCCGTTGACAGTGACTTCATGCATTTGTGCCATGTTTTGGTTTGGCCGCCCCTAACTTCCTTCCAACCTACTCCTACACTAGCTCGTCGCGGAAGTCAGTGGTTAGGCATACACAGCACATATCCCAACCACCTCAACTGATGAAGTTTCACTACTTCATCTATTGATTTGCCATCCTTACCTAGAACTTGTTTCCTAACGACAGCATTGCTTATACGGTTATCCCAGGATACACGAGCAATACTTCGGAGACACAAATGATCGAATACTAGTAACCTATGAAAGTTATCTACTCTTAACAGCCATGTTTCACATCCATATAGTAGGACGGAGCGAACTGCTACACGGTAACATTTACAAGATTATTGCTTTTATTTTTCCTCAAATATACATAAATAATAATAATAACTAAAAATTTAATCAATAGTTAAACGAATTCATTGCAAGTAAATCTATCCTACATTTTGGCAATTTGATTTGAGTAGTTTATTGATTTAATAAAGTTTAGACAAAATATCATAAGACTATAATTATTCGGATAATATATAGTTGAATTATTGCTTTTTTTCTCTGGTTAATGGTTTATTTAACAAGTTGAATTTCTACAAGATGAGGGGGTAACTAAAAACCTCATAGCCTAAAACCTTCGCCTTCTTTTGATTCGTGGGTTTGAGCCACGAACAGGCTCCGAGCGGAGAAAATAGATTTTAAAACAATTTATTTATTTCAAATTTTAAAAATTCAATGCATCAATTAAGAAAAAGAGGTTCGCTAACCGAAGGACGAGTGTACTGCGCAGCAGTTTGCTCCGTTCTTTTATATGTCTGTTAAACATGACCGTTACAAGTACATGATGTTCGTAGGTTACTAGTATTAGATGTTTAAGAAGCATTGCTCGTTTATCGTGGTACAGCCGAGTGAGCAACGCTGTTGTTAGGAAAGGGTACTAGGTAAGGATGGCAGATCAATAGATGAAGTAATGAAACTTCATCAGTTGAGGTGGTTGGGATATGTGTTACGTATGCCTAACCACCGACTGCCTCGACGAGCTATGTTTTGTAGTGTAGGAATAGGTTGGAAGAAAGTTAGGGGCGGCCAAACCAAAACATGGCAGAAATCCATGAAGTCATCGACGAGTGGACTGAGTCATGTCGGTAGTTGTCGACTACCTGATTGGGGTCTGCGAAACGAAAGTCACCAATGGTTAGAAGAGACCTTGAACGACATGGCTCAAAATCGTTTGCAATGGCGCAAGTGTATCCATTCATGGTGCTCTCTCTCAAATCCTAATCTTCTGGATTTGTCAGCACCTCTACCTTTGTCTTTCTAACCTTATCTCACTGAATTATACTTCTTGAATAATATCTTCAAACCTTAGTCTTCTTCATTACCATTAATACCTCTACTATCTTTATCATTATTGGATTTGATTTGACATTTGCGTCTGTGTGCTAATTTGGTGGTATGGCAACATGAACTTATGTACATACGTACGAAGTTCTACGTTGCAACTGACTGACTGACTGACATATATATATATATATATATATATGGCAAGACTACGAACAATGAGTGCTCAGTTATTAGAACGACTCAATGTGGAAATTACAACACTAGTCAAATACTTTAAGCACGATGAAAGTGAACTGAAATGCATATGAATAAACGAAAAGGTAGTGAATATGACACAAACTAGAAAAAAAAACAACGGTCATTGATTCGACAGTCAACTCAACACTTTCTTCCTCACCTGTCACACCACTACTCTACAGTCAGTGGCATGCAACTTCGCTCTCAGATCTTGAGTATCTGCTTTTAGTCTGATCGTTCTCCAATCGACATGCCTGAACATGGTAGATAAAACCTGTCCCAGCCAATATATAGCCCGGTTGGATCATCACGATTGGCAAGCCTGACCACCATGTCAAGGTAGCAAGCTACGGTCAAGTGAGTGATTAGATTGCAGTCACCGAATGTACATATCATGATCATATCTTAATATTCCCATTTTTGGCGCTTATTTTGTTGTCACGGTACTCGTTTATCAAGTGGGTTTGTGTAATTGTCATTGGACTGAAAATTTTGTGTGATCTAATCAAACTCTCTACTGAGTGGTCAGTCAAACTAAAGTGAAATGTAGAGTTCGGATGTATGACCTATTTACTGACCACTAGATTACTAATTCACCCCATCCTATTCTATTTTTAAGCATGATTTTATTCATTCTATCTTAAATAACACTATCTACCTGTACTAATATGATAAACATAAAGAAGTTACTTGTCGTTCGCTGGTCCTTGTATCAGTCAGTCAGTCAGATGCAACGTAGAACTTTGTACATAAGTACATCAGTTCATGTTGCCATACCACATCAACACAGAGAAGTAATCGTCAATTCAAATCCAATAGTAGAAGAGGTAGTAAAGGTATTAGAAGTAATCGGAGAGGTTAGGATGAGAAGATATTATTCAAGAAGTATGATTCAGTGAGAAAAGTTTAGAGTCAAAACTAGAGGTGTTGAAGAATCCAGAAGATTAGGATTTGAGAGAACACAAAGAATAAATGCACCGGCGCCATTGCTAACGATTTTGAGCCATGTCATTCAAGGTCTCTAACCATCGATTATTATCATCTCGCGGACCCCAATCAAGGTAGTCTACATCTACCAACATGACTCAGTCCACTTGTCAGTGACTTCATGGATTTCTGTCATGTTTTGGTTTGGTCGCCCCTAGCTTTTTTCCAACCTACTCGTTTGTCGTTTTTAGTTATAGAGTATAACAAAATTCCGAAGCTGAGCCAGGATCTCTATGCCTATAAACATTGCCTGGTCGCACAATCAATAACTTCCAGTGTAAACTTCTAGTCTTGATTTAGTTCACTTCGGTTTTCTTCAGATCTACTTTATACTGATGTTTAAAGCATAAAAGGTGGTGGCTAGGTATGAGAAAAAACATATATTTGAACTATTCGATAAACAATAAAATCACCACCTTTATTTAGTACTAAAACCACCTTGTAATTCACGCAACTAATTCGTTATCTGTTCTAATTGTCATTTATTAGCTATGTAACTAAGAACCTTGGTCATTTTCCTCAGATTACTTACGAATGTTTGTTTCATTAAGACTGAATATCAGACAGATTGACTGCTTGAAAAATTCGAATCATGTGCTTATAATACCGACTGAATGTTATTAAATCGCTAGTAATAGGAATAACTATACAAAACACTTGGGGTCTGAAATTTACATTTAGCTAGTTTGAAGAGATTTTAAATTAATCCTGCTGCAAACAAACGAATACAACAAAGATGAGGCAATGATAACATAATATGCAAGGCGTTTATGTATCTGAGTGGAAAAAAACTTTTATTTCCAATTAAATGAGTGACTAATAACACTTAGATTGATTATTAAGTTGTAGAATGTGCGGCGAATTTGTAATAGCATTTCATGTCTTGAATAATGATTTGGATGTTAATACGTTATATCTCTTATGTTTCTCTAGAAATTATTGTTTAGACAACCATGAAAAGGTACATAGAGGGTGATAAGATAAATTCATTTTGAAATATTGCTTTTTTGACTGAGTAGAACTATCTACTCATCCAAATAACTTTGAATGTCCTCGACCAACTCCACAAGTAACTTTACATATTTAATAGATTTGAGGCGTAGTGGTAAACCCTTTACAGGGGAATACCCGAGAGAGCCTTCAGTAGCTAAACCACATGGGGATGAAAAAATATGAACCCGACTTTCAAAAGAACTACATAAGCCGATCAGGGTTTGCGGAGTTTTAGAATCTCCTAATAAGGCTTAGCAAGAAGAAAATCAACGGTAATTTGAAGACGATTTAGGTTATTGAGTTCACTTTGAATCATGTCCATGGACATTTAATGCATTCTTTACTATTGTTCATGTTTGTTGATAAATATTCAATTCCCGAACCACAATCACTGTTATCGAAAAATAAACGGTTATCTTTGATAAGTTTTGGACTGCATAATGGCCGTGACCACTGAACGTTTAGTGTAACAACTGGACATCTTCCTTTTGATAGCAGAACAAAGGAAGATAGGAAATAAAAGTACTGCTTGCTCCGTTAAACCTTAGTTTGAGAAATGGAAGATTATCACATGAACATATTAATCTCAATGAGAAAAAGTGTGAAAAGCAATGGTTTATCAAGTAATTAGCTCAAAATGATTCTATTTTGAACCATAAAAATTGACGCAGTGGCTTTCAAGTACTAATAATATCATGATTCATCTAATCTGGGGAGATGCGGCATCCATGACATTAAACCTGATGACTCCATGTGAACAGATATGCACATAAAACAATCCACTTAATGTCTTGAGATAAACTCACCTGGTTAGCCTTATTGATTTGCTTTTTGAGACCGGCAAAAGACATGTTTGCAAAACTTTCACTACAGGAATAACATCCAAAACAACCGCGCCAGCAGACAACAATGAATAGTGGAGTTAAAAAAAGTGTCCAATCAACAATTTGATTAAAGGACTTGGGCCATAATTGGTGTAAACTCTCAATTAAAAGTGCATAACCTTCTCATGCGTATTCGAAATTGCATGAAAAGACGGACTTTTTGACAGCCATGTTAAAGCTTACAGTATCCAACATCTTTTTCACCGGCTAGTGCAAATCAGTTTATTTCTTTACTCTCAATTACTGTTCTTTCGGTATGGTTTCAAGTATTCGATAGTGTCTATTGGATAATAGTATAGTCACTCGATTACAATAATTCTAGTCGGCAGTTATTTATGAATTTGCATGTACCGTGACTTGAGTGAGTGCGTGTCTCAGGGCCCTAAGGTTTCTGGATGAAATCAGCTATCAAGTTACCAGACCGAAGATCATTTATTTGCAATACGGAGAATAACATGGAAAAGATTTTGATGCGAATAAGGAGATTTCAGAACTAAGTAAATAATGGATAAACAAGTTAATTATTCGGTAGTGAACATTGTGTGAGAGGACCTAAGTGAAAGCAAAGAAGAGTAAATAGAGATAATGAGCGAAACAGATTAAGCTGGTGATCTAAGGAAATAATAATGATGACAAGCAAGTTGTAGTATTATGTAGCAGTATTATGCGTTGATACCATCTATTCTGTCATCCGATGTCGATTATCTTTCTCATGAATTAGTACTGATTTCTTTGGGCTCGCTGCTTGTTGTTTCAATAACGTTTAAGATGTTTGGCAGGGTGAAGCGGTTAGTAATCTAGCCACTCAGCAACACTAATTCTTGTCAATTTAGTAGCTATTTATGTATTTATAGGTCTTGTAAATCGTCTCACAGAAGGATTAACCGAGGTGATGAAAAGTGAGATTGGTAATGGCAGACAGGTTGCCAGACATTCGCTAAAGAAACATACTTCAGCACAATTAAAGACTATTAATTCTTGTGCCAAGAATAAAAATTATGTTGGCGGGTTTGAGAATATTTGTTCTATATTTCGTTTCTGACCCAATGTAAGTCTGAAATTTAGACAAATGTATGTATAAAAGCGGAAACCAGACAAATGGAATCAGCTTATAAAATGTACACCATGCAGTAGTTTTTCAATTGCTATTGGAACTTAGCAATCCTGCCAGAGCTCGTCAGTTGAGTCCGGTTGTCATATGTTGGCAAAGTTTTGTTGTGGTTGTCACCATTCGCAAACCGCATCGTAGTCTCAGTGGTTAGGCCGTCTGCCTGTTCAGTCAGCACATTGAAAGAAGAGAGTTTCCCGTCTGACTGGGCGGCTTAAAGATCCTGGACGGGAAAGTAATCTTTAGTCACATCCCTATCAGTCGCGTGACACTTGGGTTTGCGGTAAAGAATTTGATAAAGCCCTTCATATGAAGCTTCGAATAGTTGACCTCATAAGTTGCAGGATGCGAAAGCGTGTGTACAGGTCACAAGGAGGGTTGAACGAATGGTGAGAAATGAATGGCGGTCGAGTAAAAATGTGTTTAACTGGATGCATTGGATTTATAAGCCTGCTTGTGTAGGAATTTAGATCCACAACCTCTGAAGAAGACTAAGGATTCAAGAGATCTCCTGGAAGTCAGATTGTCATGACGTAAGAGAGTTCAGTTGCTATGAGTTCGACGTCAGCTTTCTCTACGTTGCAAACCTCAGGTATTACGAGTTGAAAAGGATTAGCTTATCGTGATAAGCCAGCAGCTGAATGTGGAGTTTTCACACGTAATCATTATAATATATCACTCTAATAGTAGTGATAATAAAATTTATAACGATTCCTTAATTTTTAGGTCGTCTTAACAAAAGTCCCAGAATACCAAACTAGAAGAGTGTAACCGAATAACTGACTAAGTCCATAATTATCAGAAATCAAGTTTAATGCCCGAGTGAAATGATAATTCAAACATAGTAAGTAAGATCTGATTAATGATAACAGCAAGAAATTAGGTTCTGAGATCCTCCTGTTTCGGTAGCTCCGGTAAAACCAGTGATCATTTTCATTGATCTACCGCTAAAAGTGCTCTTACCCCTAGTCCCAATACTCTTAGAAATGTATGCATGCCTAACAACAGACCGTAGACCTCAGGCACTTCAATTAGAGAGTACGTACGAAAGACAGTTAGAAACATGATGACTTAACTGGCCCGAAACGATTCTTTTTTTACATTAAAGGTGGACAAAAGGGTAATGACGTAATTACTTCATCACATCCGAGCGAAAATTAAGAAATACTAGCCGGCCATTAATAGAATTATGTCAAACTACTTAAAGGAGGTCTTCTCGATTACACTGCATGTGAGTGAGAAAGCATCAATCACTCAGCAACGTCAAGCCTATGAAATTATCGGTTTCTGATAGGTTGTACTCATAGTCTCTGCCATCACACACGGAAATCATTCAAGAACCACTCAAAATACATTTCGAAAAGTCATCTCTCAAAAGTAAGGATGATGTAATTAGCCTTATATTAAGTTTGGTTAAAGACAGATTTCGACCAACATGTTCGTAATTTGAGAATAAATTATTATTATTATTAAAAATAGTAGTCTAGTTACTTATGAACATGGTTCGGACTGTGTTACTATCTGATGTAGAACTCTATGGTCTGTTAACTCCTAAGTAATATGGATTTCGGAATAGGCATTCACGATCAAATAATTAATTGACTATGGGAAAGGATCGGGCAACATCCCAAGCTTGTTAGTCGAAGTGATATTCATAAATTTAACAAAGCGCTGGATAATGTTTATAACTTGGGGCTAAATACAGAAGCTTTTAAACTTTGGAATCACTGCTACAGTGCAGAAATGGATATAAAATCATTCCATGGATGAAGACAGTAACAGGGTGTGAGTGAATGTGACATTTTGAACGGAACTCTATCAGATACGGTCGATCGCAAGGTAACGAGTTGGGTTCCCCAGTGTTTCGTTTTTACGTCAATGAATTATCCACATAGCCTAATGCGCTGACACTAATGTTTGTGCATGATGTCAAAATATGTAGAGCAATAAGTAGTGAGACTGATCATTAATCAGTTCCAAAGCTGTGGTTTAGAAATTAATTATAGGGAAAGTGTGCTTGCGCCTACTGGACGTGACAACAGGTGTCAGTTTACTGTCAACGGTACATCATTACCACGCATGCAGGAACAAAAAGACTTGGGAGTAACAGTAGTCATAACTTGATGACAATTACACTTTGGAGTGTAGCAAACCCCGCAAAAGTGTTCGAGTGTTTTGGTTACTTTGCCAAGCATTCAGATACTTTGAGGAGGATATTTTTCGGGTTTTATACCCCACTCATGTTAGACCTCACCTAAAATACTTCATCCGAGCATCTGACCCTCAATTGACCGAAGCCACTATCACACTCAAGCGTATTCAGCGTGTTGGTACTAATCTATTTTATGGCATTTCCAAGCTCGTCTACGACGAGTGCTTAAAACGCCTAAATCTTTCTTCCTTGTTGTAGAACGAGAGTTGAACTCACATAAGTATCCCATATCCGGAGTACTGATTTGAGTTTTAACCTGTGTTATCTTCATGTTCCCTCCGGAACGAATCATCTTCAAGGCCAGTGAAAGGTTCAAAAATAGCTCCACTAAAAAGTAAGACCGACTGACGCAGCAAGAGTTGAAGTTGGAATCATCTTAGGTTCACTCCTTTTCGTAATATTCGTTGTCTGCCTCCTGGACAAGCTGTACCTGCTGCATGCTTTGAAAATTGCTAGTCATTATCATTTTAATCTCATCAGATCAATAAGTTATTACATCTCACTCGTTATATCCGTTTCCTCTCCTTTTTCTTACACCAGCCCTCTCGTAAAATCTTCACCACCATTAACTAAATAATCCATTATTTACTTAGTTCTGAAATCTCCTTATTCGCATCAAAATCTTTTCCATGTTATTCTCCGTATTGCAAATAAATGATCTTCGGTCTGGTAACTTGATAGCTGATTTCATCCAGAAACCTTAGGGCCCTGAGACACGCACTCACTCAAGTCACGGTACATGCAAATTCATAAATAACTGCCGACTAGAATTATTGTAATCGAGTGACTATACTACTATCCAATAGACACTATCGAATACTTGAAACCATACCGAAAGAACAAGAACCGAGCTCAAAGAATGTAGTTAGCTTATACTTGTTCGTGAAAATGATATTGGATATTGAAGAGGTGTTTAGTTTCAATTGTATGCGCTTCTGACTTTGATTACTAAACTTATTTGCGCTTCTGCTCTTAGTCGCCGATCGCTTTCAGTTATGAATGTAAGTGAAGTCTAAATAGATTGCAAACCTGTGTTTATTCAGTCATCGGCTGACTTGTTCTTTACTTTTCCAGCCTTCGCAATTGTATACCCTCCCGTCACAAGGTACTTTTAGGTCTAATAAAGTCCACTATAAATAACTTTTATTGTCTTGTTATTTTCTTGTTTCCTCATTTGTGTAAGCTTGAACTTTTTGATTTTTCAAGTGAGTCAATGTCATCCTTAAGTTATCTATTAACTTTATTATAATTCTCTTCATCTGCGTTTCCATTATTGTCTCTTGGAAGTGAATATTTCATTGTTGCTAAAATGTAATGTAACTTTTAAGGTAAAAAACATCTTATTTAGCGCATTGACGGTACAATTAGTCAACTATAACTTGAATCGTTTCAGTTAAGGTTAGATTTTAAGACAAGTTGATATCAGTTTCAGATCCAGTATAGTCCACATGTTGTGGTTCGCTTTTGCTGTATAAACTATTCTCGTACATATTCAACCAGTTGTGGAATTTAGTCAATGTAGGTTAATAAGAAATAACTCTGAACTTGAGGTATATTTTTCTTGTAACTATGTCAGGAAAACTCAACAAGGATCAGACAACTTCAAAAGCAAAGAACGGATCGAATACAGGTAATATACAGGCTTTCTCATCGAGTAATTAGCTCTTAAAATCTTTTATTGGAAGAATAGGCATTTGAACCTTAGACTAACCCACTCAAGAAAAGACTAAAGCTTGCTAAAGAGTGACTAGCGTGTATTCTTGGTATTCTGTCTTCAGGATAAATAATCGAACAATGCACATATGTGTTCACATTCGCTATTAGTAATAACGATAATTCAGATCACTCAAAGCCACAGTTTTCCAGTAGCCTGAATCATTACATTAGATTTTCAGACGATCTAAAATAATTCCTGAAGACGTGATAATTACCTAAATACTTGTCGATGTACATACAGCTGTCAAAAAAATTGTCACTGACATCATTTAGACTCGCTGCATTTAGGTTTACATATGAACCTTCAAAATTTGGTACGTCTATCTCTTGAGATTTACTAACTATATCTAGCAGTACCACTGCAGTTGATTTCGATCCTAGTTTAGGTGCTTACAATTAAAATATATGCTTTTGGTATCTGAAATTATAACACGTTATATAATAGGTGTCCGGAAATTATGAACTGAATTTTGCAGTTATTTATACAGTATTTTCTAATGTCGCTGAACATACTTAAAACCAATTTTTTTTTGGAATATTTTTACTCACAACGTATCTGAGGTTTTTCAGTGTCCTTCGACCAATTGTATTTATCTGAAATTTATTTCATACCCTATTAGCACAGCGCCATGAGATTTTCAGGGGAAATCTTAAAGTAATAAATGTAGCAGCAGTATTAGTGGTAACAGAAAATATTAGGCACCAGAAATACAGTTCAGGACTTCAGATTTACTGAATAAACGTATTAAAAATTCCAAAGTTAGCATGGCTGTTTGAAGGCAGGATAATTGTCTACTCTCGATTTAGGAGACTTAAATGATTAGCAGGACTCGTTCAAAAAACAGTTTAATTGCTCTTCAGCTACTCATTAGTTGCTTACTTTCACCAATCAACCTGAATAAAATGTCAACATAAACTCCGCGACTCAATCAACCACAAAAAAGCCATAGTTAATCTCAAACAAAAGGGTTCAATTCACTGTGACTACAGACAAAATGCATCAGAAAATAAGTTTAATTTGATTGATCAAAAATACATTTGCATAACTTGAAAGTTTCAAGTTACCTTTAAAAGGAAACAAACTATCTGTTTGAAGATAAATCAATCTAACTTAAACAATTTGATATTATTTCTGAAAAAGCTAAATTCACTTGTTTCGGTGCTTTATTTTTATAAGTTTGTTAGCGGGGTAGGAAAGAAGCGGATAGAACTATTCTATATATATATATATTCTTAATGTGATTGCATTACTTACTTACTTACTTACGCCTGTTACCCCCAATGGAGCATAGGCCGCCCACCAGTTTTCTCCAAGCAACTCTGTCCTGGG